AAGAAAAAGTTTCAAAAGCATAGAGATTAGAAAATTATCAATATTACTAGATATGGTTTAATGTATAAAAAATACAGAAGAATCTATAGATACATTACTAGAACTCATATAATTCATTTCTTATGTTAGCTATGTTTAGGATACAAGATAAATACACAAACAACCACAATGTATTTCTATATCCCAATGAAACAGAATTAAAAAATTCTTTTAAAGAGATGTACAAGGGGCTGGGGATTTAGCTCAGCGGCAAAAGCGCCTGCCTGGCAAGCGCAAGGTCGTGAGTTTGGTTCCCGGTACCGGAGAAAAACCAAAATGAATTCAAGGCCAACCAAAAGTGCACAGTGAGACCCTATCTCAAAAAGTCAAAAAAAAAAAAAAAAAAAACAAACAAAATAAAGAGATGTACAACAGAATGAGAAAATATTATATATCTGGGAATAAATCTAATAAGATGTATAAGACCTCTACATGGAAAACTATGTGATTTTATTGAGACACTTAAAAAAATCCCAATAAATAGGTAGGAATATATAAAGCTCATGTACTGAAAAACTCCATAATGAAATCAACAATTCTTCCAAAATGTACTTATAGACTCAACACTATCTCACTTCAAAATTCCAAGTTTCAAAGTCCTTTGTTCTGTGTTGTTTTGCTTTGTTACAATTAAATAAATTGACTTTAAAACATGATACAGGGCCGAGGATATAGCTCAGCAGCACAGTACCTGCCCGGCAAGCACAAGGTCCTGAGGTTGATTCCAGGTACCAAAAAAAAAAAAAAAGGGGGGGGGGCATAAATGTAAAAGTGAAAGAATAGCCAAGAAACTCTTAAAGAACAAAGAACAAAATAAAGGATTTGATCTACTGAATATAAATTCTTATCATAAAACAGCAGTTTGGTATTGGTACAAGAATACACTAACCAATCAGAGAAATAGACCACCCACATTTGGACAGTTTATTTACAAATAAAGAGGCCTTCAGCGTAGTGAGGACAGAATGGCTTTCCTAATAAATTAGGCTGCTTCAAGTGCATATCCAAAAAACACATTTTTAAAACAAAATCTGGCCTGTACCTTACCCAATATGCAAAGATTTATTCCCAGCGAATAGTAGATATAAACTTGGAAGTAGAAACTGTAAAGGTCTTTGAAGATAATCTTACAATCCCAGAGTACAGAAAGATTTACTGAACAGAACACAATGAAACACTAACATAAAGGGAACAAAATCTATGAAGGATTTGGATGATAAAAGTTAAAACCTCTGTTCTCGGTAAGAGACAGACTAGGCAGACAAGAGAAGGATTTAACCATACACTTAACCGATGGGCTCATAACCAGAATATTAAAATAATTCCCACAAATCAATGAGAAAAAGAGAAGCGTTGCAATTGAAAATGGGCAAGAGACCTGAACAGCCACTCACAAAACATTTCAGACGGTTGACAACGACGCAAGAGAAGGAACTCCACACTTCACCAGTCAGCAAAAAACACACTAAAACGGCAACGTGCTATGAACTAAAACGGTACGTGCTACGCACTGGCTTCATGGCTAACATGACAAAGTCTGATGTCGCTGAGGACAGGGAGCAAGGGAAATGCTCACATGCTGCTGGTGTACGGTGCAAGTGCTTCAGAAATAGTTTGAGATTACCTAACAGACCTGATGCTACGCAACTCCTATACACTAGCACTTCCTCACCTGGATATGGGCCAAATGTATGCCCACAGGTGCCATGAAATCCGCATTAGAATGACCACAGCCGCAGTGTCCAGGCTGCCAGCAAACGGACCATCCAAAAGCTCACCACCAACGCAGGAGACAGTGTTAAATCGGTTACAGCGCGTTCACGTAAGAGTTTCCTGTATAGCACAGAAAAGCGGACAAACCAGAGCCACAAGCAGCAACATTTGTGAATGCCACAAATACAACACTGGGCGAAAGAATCCAGACACACACGAGCACTCTATGATTCCATGTCACGCCTTTCTCAAAAACCAGACAAAACCAAAATACATATTGTGTTTAGGGATGTGTTATTTGTTGAGAAAACTGTAATAGGCCACGTCTATGCAAAACCATCAGCACAAGGTGCTAACATTCCGTTTGTTCCTTTAACCTGGTGTTGGTAGCAGAGTGTTCATTTTGTCATAGATGTGATTGTATTCTACACCTTATTTTGTGTACTGGTCTGCATGCTTATGAAATCGCCATTAAAAGGGATTAACTAAGTAAATTAAATGCATATATAATAGAAAGCTTAACTATATATTTCCTGGAGTTGGGGGCAGAATAGATTTTTTTAAAAAATTAGGAGTGTTCGGCCCATTATTTGAACAGAAGTCTATGCTAACACCTTCCGGGGGCCCGTCCTGAGCACACATGGTGCATTCTTGGCCAGTTCACCTCGGACAGGCTTCCCACTATCTGTCGCCATCCTTCTGCTGAGCAGACACTCCTCACTGCCTCGGTCCAGATAATCTACTTTGTATAAAAGTCCCGAGATGGGCCAGAAAATCTCCAACAACCCATCCCTCACCCTTGCTCTTTCCTCCTCGCCACTCCCCGCCCTGGTACTCAGCTCAAACTCACGGACTCAGGGACTCTTTCCTCTGCTCCCGGCTCCACCCTCCACCCTCGAGGCTGCTCCTCTGCAGATGGCAAGGCAGGTGCACTGGTCATTTTCAACTGGCTCCGCCTCCCACATCCTGGAACACTGATCCGGAGGGACCACAGGGCCAGGCTTCCCTGTCCAGCTGGCTTCTGCAGAGCTCTGCTGGTGGAAGCAACAGCAGAAAGTGGGAGGCCGGGAGAAGAGGAGTTGGGGCCTGTCCACCCCTCTCGCTGTGGTCTGTGTTTACAGGGGTGGCTGCTTCCTACAGGCCCAGTTCTTCCTCTCCGGCTCCAGCATTCATGGACTCCAGTGACATCACCCTGACTTGCTTTTCCTCCCCACTGCTATGCCTTTCATTGATTCTCATAAGCCAGCCTCCATCCTTCTGAGCTAGCTTTTCACTGAACTCTCCATTTGCACTGGGCAAGATTCTGCTTTTCCCTGGGACCCTACATAGCATAGCAGTAACTGTACACTCATCGATGTGATTGTTTCATCAGCACCTGTCTTCTGCTATGCTGTGAGCTTCATGAACTGGCACTGCAGAAACTGTCAACAAATACTTAATGATTTAGCAAGTTAATGATGAGCAAATGAACTCACATTAGGGTCGGAATATACTATACATAGCACAAAGATTTCTGAAATGTTCCTGCTATGTCTGACGTGGAACCAAACTATTAGACCAAACATTCTACCTGTGGGTTAAAAATAGCTTTGGTTGGCAGGAATAGCTGAACTCATGAATAAATTTTAATTATTCCAGAAATAAGTACAGTGGCTGTGAGCTCTAAACGTGAAAGATATAATTTTATCTATCTGAAATAAATTATCAATGACAAGAGTCTAAGTGGACAACAGATGAACTAACTCATACACTTTAGTCAGTTATGATTCTAAGTATCAGTAGGCACACAAAAGAAATCTCCACACCCCTGAATTTTTCACATCTTTCTGCAAATGGCCAGGGACAATAAATATTTAGTGGTTACTGGTATAGGAGGGGTAACTCCAGCTCACGCTGTTTTTTTCTTGCTATACTAATCTACTTAGGTTTAATACAGAATGACCTAGGTTGATCCCAATATTAGACATGCAAGTTATACATTAAAGTTTACCAGTTAGATAACTTCTACAAAATGATCTGGAAAACTGTGATTCCAATTAGCTGGTCAGTATTTCCATAATGGAGTCAAAGCTCCACAGATTTTCTCTCTCACAGCAGAAAAAATACAAAAAAAAAAAAAAAAAAATCAGATTACCTACAGGCCACCTGACGTATTAGCAAAACCTTTGACACATATCTTAGTATATGCTGCATCCACCAAGACACCTGAATTTTATTCAGAAAGCTAGTTTATATATAGTACAATCACAAAGAAATACATACCATATCAAGAATTTTTATTCAGTAACATGGCACTGTAAAACAATTTTCAAGTATGCGAATTCTATGAGGGTGGAACAGTCTCAACTTTGAAGTCGTCAATAATCACCTCTTTTCTTCATTTACTTTCCTCGTGAAAAGTTCTGTCTTCTGAAAACTTTCACTATGATCAGTAGTCCCACTGTTCACAGTATTAGGGAGTTCCAATTTCTTTAGTATGGTAAGAGCTCCAGATGATTTGTGACCTCCCACCAGGCAAACTAGTTAGTTAATAAAGGAAGATCCTTCTCATAGGTCACTACTTGGGGTACGGGTCTGAGTGATCGTTTAATTTTGAATGCTAAGACACGGCTCCCGTTAGTTACACCAATAATACCATGTAAGGAGGCCTGCAAAGAAGTGGTCAAGTTAAATTTGCTATAATGCAGTCAACACAGCCAGTTCTTTTTACAACCAGAACCAGAAAATTTGCTTTGTTTTGTCTAATGAGGTGCAACAAAAGAATTTCTTTTTCCTTATTCATTCTCCCCGGTCATAACTAATATAGGAAATGACCACATCAGCTCCCTACTGATTGCTTTCTTGGAAACAAAAGAGCATTTTGTACCTGACCCAGCTCCTGCTCATAAAGACGGTGAACTAAAAATTAACCATCCCCCCCACTCTTCTTCATATACGAAGCACTGTTTTTGAAGGAGGCAGGGGAAACACTGCATTCAATCCTTAAGGGAAAATACTCCCCCTCTCCGCCCCAGACTCGCTCTTCCCGGTTCGCAGGCACATCACCCACCAGCGGGGCGCCCAGTACGCGCAGACCCCATAGCCAGGCAGAGTGCAGGGAGAACAAGCACCCCTCGCCCAGTCTGAAAATCACGACTCCGGGCGGGACCGGGCGCGCAGGCCCCGGGGACCGGGCGGCGTCCTCGTCCGCCTCCCGGTGCCCGCAGCCCGGGGCGCGCTCGCCCGCAGGGACGCGCCGGGGTCCTTACCCGCCAGTCCTCCGCCGCCGTCCCCGTCGCCGGCGTGCCCCTTCCTCCGCTGCAGGATGAAGTACGGGTTGGCCCTCTCGGTGACCCACAGCGCGTTGGCCAGCAGCACCTCCTCGGGGTTCACCCACATGGTCCCGGCCGCCGCGGGCGGACGCACAAAGGGGCCGCGGCCGGGTCCTGCGCACACGGGCGCGCACAGGAGCGCGCTCG